GCTGTGTTTGGTTACAACAATAATATTATTGTTATTAGATTTATTAAATAGATTTATAATTGATTCTCATTACAAATCTACCGCATGTTGCATTTTCAAATGCACATTATAAGGGCTTGAGATTGCAATAAAATGTATGTCGATACTGATAACGCATAAGCTCTGGTCATTTTTAATCAATATGGATTATTCTAACAGACTATCACACAACAGAAGTAAATGCAACAACAGCCAGTCAGTGCATGTTCATTATAAGTCTGCATGTCTCTGTGTGAATAAGTGGTGAGGTTTCGTCTATGACAGTCACACGTAACGCTCATGGAGTTTTCAGCATCCCAATATATGAGGACAGTCCATATGAACTCCGTCTCCACAGCTGTTCTGAGATTTCACAAGCTTTTCACCATATAATAAAAAAAAAACTCCCATCAACTAAACACAGAAACTCGATCTTTGCCAAAATAAAAATTTGGTTTAACTTGAAGAAATTATGACAGAAATATATTTCTATTGTATACTAAAATGTACTTTATTATTATTATATTATTTTAAGGAATATCATACAACCAAGATATTTCTTCATCCATGTTTTAATTTATACAGTTCTTTTGTGCAGTACCTTATTTGGCAAAAATAAAAATGCAATGTTTTGTTGTAAATTAATGGTTATATTTTAATTTGATTACATTTTAAAGGAGTTAATAGTTTAAGTTTTATTAAACTATGTCATTAGACACCGTTTTGATGATGAATTTGTATTAAATCATAAAACACAGAATCCAGAAAAATAAAATGGAAAACACAATGTAGGGAAAAGTAAATGGATTTCATGGAGCCTTAAATGAAAGGTCCAGCCCTATTTATAAGGGACCCAAACTCAGTGTTTGCAAAGATCTGCTGGCTTGTAAAAGAACACAGTGCCACACTTTACTGAGAAATATGTGCATCAGAAAATATAATTAAATGCAGCCTTTGGGATTCGATAAGTGCATTAAGCCATATTACATTCTCACAACCATGTAAGTTACCGGCCAACCATTTCATATACTTGCCAGCGCCGATGTACACTGACGCTTAGCGAGTGTTCATTTTGGATTATTTAAATAAACTGTAATGTACAATGTGTACATGGTAGTATTTGCTGCATTGAATTTAATTTATGCTGATAAGCATAACAGTGCCCTGATGGAATCATGATTGAATTACAGTATGTTTTTTTGTATTAACATGAATGTTGAGGGGAATGTGCTTTCATTGTCATAATACCACAATACAAAAACAAATTCATTTATTTTTATTTAACTTCTCAATTACTTTAGTTTCTTGAATTAACTTTTTCAGTTATTTCAAGTAGAGCAGCACGATTCTGGATACATTTAGAATTAAAATTTTTCGTTTAAAATAGAGAGTACAATTCCGAATAGACAACTAAACCAAATTACATGTAATTTACTAGAGGTTCAGACAAAATGCTAATTGCTGCTAGGGAAAAGTAAATGGATTTCATGGAGCCTTAAATGAAAGGTCCAGCCCTATTTATAAGGGACCCAAACTCAGTGTTTGCAAAGATCTGCTGGCTTGTAAAAGAACACAGTGCCACACTTTACTGAGAAATATGTGCATCAGAAAATATAATTAAATGCAGCCTTTGGGATTCGATAAGTGCATTAAGCCATATTACATTCTCACAACCATGTAAGTTACCGGCCAACCATTTCATATACTTGCCAGCGCCGATGTACACTGATGCTTAGCGAGTGTTCATTTTGGATTATTTAAATAAACTGTAATGTACAATGTGTACATGGTAGTATTTGCTGCATTGAATTTAATTTATGCTGATAAGCATAACAGTGCCCTGATGGAATCATGATTGAATTACAGTATGTTTTTTTGTATTAACATGAATGTTGAGGGGAATGTGCTTTCATTGTCATAATACCACAATACAAAAACAAATTCATTTATTTTTATTTAACTTCTCAATTACTTTAGTTTCTTGAATTAACTTTTTCAGTTATTTCAAGTAGAGCAGCACGATTCTGGATACATTTAGAATTAAAATTTTTCGTTTAAAATAGAGAGTACAATTCCGAATAGACAACTAAACCAAATTACATGTAATTTACTAGAGGTTCAGACAAAATGCTAATTGCTGCAGTCTATTTAAAAAATATTTAATTAATCTGAATGAATGTTACATTTCTTACTGTTTCGGTGTGATTATGCTTGTCAAAGGTGTAATAGAAATAGCCAAATCATGGTCATTTAGGAATAAGATTGTGTGGGCATTTGAATCAAGATTGCAATCGTTTAATGATTAAATGTGCAACTCTACCATGTCACCAAAAATGGTTTCCTGTAAAAATGATATCTGGACCATAAAACCCAGAGGAATCATGTGATGAAACAGACAGAGGGTCTGATCTACTCCTTTTGCTTTGGGTCTTCTTTTTTCTTATTCCTCTGAGTCTTGACACACCCTGTCTGCTCTGGCCAGCAGGTGCACTGGATGCTCTAGCTCTGGCCTCTCTGTTGTCTTGATGAGAAGGTCCAGGCTGGTCATCATGTCTGGATATCTCTCTAAGGGATTGTGGAGGTGACCGAAAGGTGAGGCAATCATGTGAAGAATCAAACTGGTGGTCTGATCTTCTCCTTTTGCGTTGGGTGTCTGGGCAGTCAGAAACCTTCCTTTTTCTTTTCCCTCCCTGCCTCGACTCATTCTTGCTAAAATTGTCAGCAGGTGCTTTGGCCTCTCTGTTGTTAAAGTGAGAAGGTCCAACCTGGTCATCATGGCTTGATGTTTCTCCAAGTAATGCCGGAGGATAAAACTCAGTGAAGGAGTGACTTGAAGAATCTGAATCAGACTGGTGGTCTGATCTGCTCCTTTTCCCTTCGCTGCTTTCTGACCTACCAGAAGTCTTCCTTTTCCATTTACCACCTTGACTCCTGTTGTTTCGGTGAGAAAGTCCAGGCTGGTCATCATCAGTGGATGTCTCTCCAAGTGCTTCCCCGGAGATGAGGGAATCACATGAAGAGTCAGACTGATGGTCTGATCTGCTCCTTTGCCATTCTCTGCTTTCTGACCTTCCAGAAGTCTTCCTTTTTCGTTTACCACCCTGCCTCAACTCATCCTGGCTGCTCTGGTCAGTAAGTTCTCTTGATCCTCCAGCTTTGGCCTCTCTGTTGTCTCGGTGAGAAAGTGCAAGCTGGTCATCATCAGTGGATGTCCCTCCAAGTGATTCCCCAGAGATGTGGGAATCATGAGAAGAATGAGTCTGGTGGTCTGATGTCCTCCTTTGCCATTCTCTGCTTTCTGACCTTCCAGAAGTCTTCCTTTTTCTTTTACCGCCCTGTCTAATCTCAACCTGACTGCCTGAGTTTTGGTCTGCAGGTGACCTGGATCCTCCAGGACTGGCCTCATGGTTGACCTGGTGAGAAGGTCCAGGCTGTTCGTCATCCATAGGTATCTCCCCACGTGCTGCTGGTGGGTTATTAGTATACAAAGGATAAAACCCAAGGGTCGAGGATTCACCCGCAGCATGCACAGTGACGGCCCAGACATCTGTTTGCCAGGTCAGCATGGAGACCAAAGGATTGTATTCAGTGTCAGGTATCCATAGATACAGTAAGAGTTCCCTGAGAGCTCTTCGGGTACGCAGCAAACCAAGACCTGGGTTAGATGCGGTCATGTAACGTGGTAAGCGTACTTCTAGATGCATCAACAGGCCATGCTCGTCTTCAAACTCTACTATAAACACAATTCCTGGAAAATCATCCCTATTAATATCATTCTCCTCATCGTGACCGACAGGGGGTCCAAACAGTAGGATGTGTAGCTGATGGAAGATATTATGAATGTCACCTTGATCCATGTGAATTACACACTAAACAGTTACTGTGAAATGTGAACTAGCATTTTAACTGCAGGTGTCTGAATACTATATCCAATCTTATTCATGCTGTTATGAGCCTCTTGAGGTCCATCTGCTCAATTTATCGCTTGTACTTGGAATTCTTGCTATTGTGATGACATAGATTGTTGAAATTCTGAGAATTCTATAATCTCTGTTTAAAAAACAACAGGATCTGTACAGCTATATTCTTCCACAATTCTGAATAGACATGCCAAATAACATAAAATTTACTAAAGAGATCTATAGATAGAGGTTCTATCGTCTAAAAGAATGGCTTTTTTTTATCCTTGGTCCAGTTTGGTTTATGTTTCATGTTTTTAGTTTTTTTGTCTATACATAATGTATCCTGCAGTCTAAGGTGAAAACAATGAGTATATTAACAATGATTCAGTACAAATATAATGTAACTGGCATGACAGGAACCTGTAACAGAGTAATGCAAACTTTGGCAAAAAAGAAAATGATCACATGAATTATGATTAAAATACTAAATAGACAAAAATAAACATTTGGTATGAAAAAAACAACAACATTGTAGTAAATTTCTTGGTGGACTTTAAAATGATCACATGAATTATGATTAAAATACTAAATAGACAAAAAGAAACATTTGGTATGAAAAAAACAACAACATTGTAGTAAATTTCTTGGTGGACTTTGGGGAAAAATTATTTTTTTTAAAAATGGACCCCTTTAAAATCATTTAAGAATGTTGTGCCATGAATTTACTATTTTGGGAGCGGAGTACTCACTGGTGAACAGGATATGACTTTGATTTCCTCCAGGGCTTGGGACAGACAGTCTTCAATCTCGCTGTCATCCAGAGAGAAGAGGTCTCCTGCACGGGACAGGTCTCTCTGTCCCAGCACTAGACGGAACAGTTGGTGCATTCTGGGACAGGCTCAAACTTGAGCAGGCTGCCCCTGCCCTGTGTTACCACGATGAGTTGACATGCTCCTGAAATGCACCCAGTACACATGCATCAGACTAACACCTACAAACTGGAACAAAGTAGAGAAGAAGACAACTATGAGGAAGATGAATTAAGGGAAAAAAGGAGACAAGAAGGAAAAGAGGGAGTGAGAGACACCACAAGAAGAAAAAGACATCATTGCATTTAAAGTTCATTGATCTTTGTACATTTTTTATTAAGGACAGTAGGGTTATACTTAGACTTACGAAACTAAAATGATATTATTTGAAGTGTCTCTATTATGCCATTTTTAAGGTTTCTTATATTGTTTTGGGAGTCTCCTACAATAGGTTTACATGCATGCAATGTCAAAAAACGCTTTTCGCTTTCGTTTGAAGAAGTTCTAAGATTCAGTCTCTCTAAGGCCCCGTCCACACGGAGACGCGTTCCGATTAATAAATGTATTGTTCCATGTTCGTTTGTATACAGCGCTCAAGGTTTATGTGCATAGTCCAAGTCTTCTTCTCCGTCTCTGTGGCAGAATTAAAGCGCCACATACTGGTCTGGCATGTATACTACATAGTTTTGTGTGGAAACAGATATTTCTTGAGACGAGGGGAAAAAAAGATCGGATAGGGAAAGCTCTGGCTTCGTGTAGACGTAGCCTAAACCCCTCCTTTCAGTGAGCCAACTCTGCTCTGATTGGTCAGATGGCCCAGTCTGTTGTGATTGGTCTACCGTGTACAGAGCGTGTCGGAAACGATATGCCCATTGTCATAGTTCTGTATTTTGAACATTAGATAGAAAATATAAACATCTATTATTTATCATACTTACAGGTTGTGATTCAGTGGAGTCAGCTGATCCAAATAAACTGGGTACTGAGCCATCTTTCAAGAGCAAGCGCTTTGTGAGTCCTGCATTGAACTCCCCGAGATTAGAGAAGCAGTTGTCAGTAAAATGATGGGAACACACAAAAAAAAAGATTGGTGTTGTACTGCTGTGGTACAGTGGAAAAAAATAATTATGACCACTGATTCTTTGCAGCCTCATCTTTTGGAAGTGAAAATAAAATGAGTGTCTTCTCAACATGATGTTAACCACAAAAACAAGCTACAGTGTTTGAGGTCGAGTCAAGTTGTTTGCAGCACATGGCCAACGTAGAACATAGGTGGGCTTTATGCAAATGTGTTACCCTGTGATGTGTAGCCATCACGGAAGTGGGATTCATATTACTGATGACTTGTTTAGGCTGTTCAGAGTCGATTCTTTCTTTTGGGAGACAATAACTTTATTTATCGCACTTAAGCACTTGGCAGATCATTTACATTCACATACAGCTACATTACACAATGCATGGAAGGCAATATTCGAAATGGCATAATAGGGGCACTTTAAAACTATAACATTTAAATAAATAAATAAAAAATTGTTCACCAAAAAATTTAAATTCTAAATTATTAGTATGATTTTTTTTTTGTCTGCAAATATTTGATTATATGATATTTGTATCAAGATATTTTATCAAATAAAAAAAATTAAAAAATTAAAAACACTTTTGTTACTTGAAATAAAATAAAATAAAATTGAACTGAAATAAAATAAAATATAATTAAAAAAATACTAAAACTTTACTCAATTAAAACGGAATCCAGAAAAATTAAAACGGGGAAAGAAAGGGAATCCAAAAAAATGTATAAAGAAAAAAAAAATGAATTTGGGGAAAAAAAATTATAATATTAATACAGATTTCATAGGGCCCTGGATTGGACAATTGGCATTCCAAGAGTACTAATATTTAGTCCAACAACGCTAGCACTTTTCACTGTTTGCATTACTCCTCTTGTTTGCCATCTTCTTTAGTTTGGCAATTATATACAAAACTAAGTTTTCTGTCTGAAAAGCAAAATATTTTCAATATCAACCTCCTTTTTTTGTTCCTTGAACTTCAGTGCAAAACAAACATCACACAAGCATGAGTGCTGCTACTATATAACAGCACACCTGTGATTCAGCCACAGGCATGAGGCTGCAGGTAACCACAGCTGTCCTGATATTCAGAACAACATCACGACTGTGAGTGATATGATGCTTGAGTGTGTCTACTCCCTGCCAGAGGCAACGAATGAACACTTCTCTCTTTCGAATACTTATCTCTTTTTAAAGGCTACCTTAAATTTTCTCCTTTTGTTTTCATACAGCATAACACTTTGAAACGAGGTAAATAAGTAAATAAGGTGAATAAATAAAATTTAGTATTTTCATTTTCACTATTCCTTTAAAATATTCTGTATGCATAAAAAAAATTATTTATGACTCTAAAGAGAGCCTGGATGGGATTTTGGGCTGTCAAGCTTCCTGTTAGAAAAATGTTCTCAGAAAACAATTCTGCCAGTGTTTTCCTCGGAGTGAAGCTAAACCTCTGTTAATCTGTAATGTGTTAAACCCGTACCTGCTGGACTCCATCACTCATTAAAGAGTGTAAAATGTCACACGTTCAGTCCCAAACTCTTGAACATGCAAACATGGATGTGTTCAGTCATGTCTCAGGAAGGGCTATTGTATCTATTTTACTCAGCTTGTATCATGCAGATTGATAGTTCATTAGTTTATCTTGGTTATATTGCAAGGTTATAAAAACCATGCAGCTTTCCTTAACGGTTTAATTTTTTTTTTCTGGGTTTCTTATGTACAGAACTGAAGAGGAAGTGTAATGGACGTTCGTCATTGGAGACAGGGTGGGATATGAGCACATAATATGATTGACATATGAGCAGCGAAGAGAAAACACAGGCAGACAGTGCTGGACGCAGCTAATGCTCATCAATAAATCAGTGGGAAATTAATAGAAATTATGATTTTGTCGGAGCCATGCGTTTTAAAACGAAAATGCAGTAGTGTAAACACACCCTAAAAGATGTGGAAACTGAAAACTATTTTAACTTTGTTAAACCATTTTGCACTGATTTATTGTGTTGATTACATTTTGTTCCTTTGTGCAGTGGCTCAGGAGATGAGTTTTTGAGTCTGAGAAACGTCAACAAGCTGAAAAAAACAAACGTTTGTTGTTTTTTTTGAGGTAACGTGTAATGTAATCTTGTTAAAACAAATTTCATAAAAATTGGTACCGAAAAAAGTAGCGTTCAGGAACCGGTATTGAAGACAAGGTATTGGTATCGGTATCGGTATCGATATTGAACATTTTTGAATGACACTCAGCCCAAGGCAAGACTCAGCAATGAACAACAATCTGGCAATAAAAAAAATTAAACTTTAGAAAGAAAGATGCCTGTCTTGGGCCTCTTGTTTGTTCTTTCATCAGTCAGTGATCCAAACGGATCATAGGTTCTGCCAATCAGAAGGCATTATGAGGCAGGCACCCAATGGTAAGTCAGAGTCGCTGAGGAGGTGACAACACACAGATGCACTTCACACCCGTCCTTGCATTCCAGAGCTGAGCATCGCTAGGATACCACAGCAAGAACGCTCAGGGACCCTGCGGAGGTCTGACCAAACCACTAATACTCAAATATAATCCCAATGACTTTATCTGAGCAAGCACAACAGGCTCCCAGTCTGTCAGCTTCTATTTAAAACTGAGAAAATGCATTGTCCAACTGCTTATGCAGCAATTACACTTGTCTCGCTCCACAAAAATGCTTTTAACCCACTTGTTCATGTTTCATTTGTAAGCTGAGCTTTATGATGGTATAAATGTGACAGTAAAAATGTGACAACTGACAGATATTTAGTGCCCCATGAAATTTGTATTCTTTTTTGAATTTTCTGAATTCTGTTTCGATGGGTATATTTTGGTAATCAAAAAGCATCTCTAATTAACTGAAATAATTAATCTTTCACAATTTAACAACTATTAATTAAAGGTCTAACAAAAATTACATTTTAGGGCCCTATGAAATGTTTTATTTTTTCCCAAATTCAGTTTTTCTGTTTTAATTTTTCTGGATTCCGTTTTAATGGTTGAATTAAATTTTAATAAGCAAAAAAAGCATGCCTAATCAATTGAATTCCTACAATGTATTTACAATAATAGGGGCCTTTTTTTCTCAGAAAATCTGTGTTTTATTTTTTCTTGATTAAAGTTTAAATATTGACAGCCAATCAGAATTCACCCAACCTTTAAGAGCTTGTGCATTTAAAGCAGCAGATGACACAACTGCAGCATGTTTATAATAAACATAATGTTACTGTGCTTTGGTGGGGATGGGCCTTTAATCTTTGATTGGGTTTCATAAGTCTGTAATGAATGGTCAAATTGCCGTAAGAGCAAAAACTATAAAAAGCAAAAACTAGTCTAAATGCACAAACACATGATGATACCCTGGTTTGTAACCGGATAGCTCTGTTTGTGTTGGACAGAAAGCAGGTCACTGGGTCTGGTCTCTTAAACAATCACCCAGTCACAACCCAGTTACAATTAATCTCCAGGTTACGGCTCGGCAATCTCTGGAATGCAGTCTTTAAAAACATGCTGGCATACACATGCTTCAATGCACACATGCATGCACTATGATACAATGCCAACACATGCAAATTGCTAGAAGGAAAAGCAAAGCACTTCTACACATGGCTGTTCAGACTGATGCACGACAAATATTTAAAAGTTGACTTGTGTACTTTTTTAACCTTGTAAAGACTGACATATAAATTAATAGTCCGATTTTTTTTTTTTTTTATGGAACAATTTATTGAACCTTTAGACCAATATATATATATATATATATATATAAAGTAGCATATTTTGAGTATCATATTTGATACATTGGACTTTACAACTCTTTTGGTATAATAGCCCATGAATAAATGAGGTCTCTATAAAAATCATTAAAGATTTTACAGAAAAACATTCAGAATCTGTAATGAAATTAATAGCAGTATGTAAATACTGATACAAAAAAAGATATAAGAAATTATATTCATTTATTAAGATATTTAGCTAAGTTTAATGGTGCAAAGAAAAATATTTAATAATGCGTCATAACGTTGCGTTCATTTATGTCGCAACTAGGCTAAGTTGTAACTGTCACACAGCTGGTGCAACTGGCCCCTGGAAACAATCCAGAACACCCTAACTACCACATAGCAACTACCAAGCAAGTTAGCATCCACTCAGCATAGCCCAGAGGAAAATCACCTATACTTCGGGAGA